GAGAGAGAGAGAGAGAGAGAGAGAGAGAGAGAATAAACAGCATTATAAGCCTTAACACAACCTTCTTCGTATGAGGAAGGAGAGAAAGGAAAGATGAAGCCTGTTTCATGCATCCTTCTCCTTCCCAAATGGAGAGAACTGCTGAGAGTTCTTTGTCATGCAACTGAAGAACCCAACTCATTGATGCTAACCAAAGGGAAGAACAATTTATCAAACAGGTGTGGGAGGCATGTCTGCAGCCGAGGCAGACACCTGATTCTGAGCCTCCCCCATCATCTTCCTAGCCTTCGCCACCCACCTCCACACCCCCACCACGTTGTCGTACAGATGCAGCGCCGCGTGCAACCCCACCCCCGCAATGATCCCGTTCGCAATCGAGTACGTGAGCGGCATCAGGATCATGGTCAGGAACGCCGGCACCGCCTCCTTCATCTCCACCCACTCGATCTCCTTCACCATCTTCATCATCATCGCCCCCACCAGCACCAGCGACGGCCCGACCGCCCACGGCGGCACGTTCGTCAGCAGCGGCGTGAAGAAGGCCGACACCAGGAACAGAGCCGCTACCGTGATCGCCGTGAGCCCGGTGCGGCCACCCTCCCTGAGCCCCGCGGTCGACTCGATGTAGGTCGTCACCGTCGTGGTGCCCAGCGCAGAGCCCACGATGGTGGCGCTCGCGTCGACGATGAACGCGCGGTACTCCCCCTCGAAACCGCCCTCCTCGTCGGTGAACCCCCCGTACTCTGCCATCGAGTACATCGATCCGGTCGTGTCGAGGACGTCGACGTAGAGGAGCGTGACCACCGCCAGCCACACTTGGCTCGTGTTGAAGCCGCTGAAGCTTATCTTTCCGGCTGTGTTCTTGATCATGTGGAAGTCTACCACCTTCTTGAAGTACTCGTAGTTGGAATTCCCCGTCGCGGTGTCTGGGAAGACAGTGACGCTGGTACCTCTGAACCAGGACACCAAGGTCACGATCACGATGCCATATATCATGCTTCCCTTCACCTTCCTCGAGAGGCAGACGGCGGTGACGAGGAAGCCCACGGCGGCGAGCCAGAACGTGGGGCTCCGCATGACGCCGCCGAGGCATTCGCCTGTGGCAGCGTCAGTCCTCGCGCAGGCCGCAAGCGTCACCAACGTCGACTTGCTCGGCCCGACGAGCCCTATCCCCTCACGGGCTTGGAGGCCGGTGAAGGCCAGGAAGAGGCCGATGCCGGCGGCCGAGGCGAGGCGGATGGAGCGAGGAATCATCCGGGCTAGCTTCGCGCGCAGGCCGAGCACCGACAGGGCGAGGAACAGGCACCCTTCGAGCATGACGGCGGCCATTGCGGTCTCGTACGGCACCGGCCCGGTGCCGTGGAACCCCACCATGTTGTAGGCGAAGTAGGCGTTGGCCCCCATGCCGGGGGCCAATGCCAGCGGCAGATTGGCGAAGGAACCCATCGCAAAGCTGCCGACCACAGCGGCGATGACGGTGGCCATGACGAAGTCGCTCTTGGTCGTCGCCAAGCACTTCTGGTACTCCGCGTCAGCGTCCAAGTCACACCCACGTCCGGGGACGGTATGGTGCGCGTGCATGGCGGAAGAGTTCGCGGCGACATGCATCTGCCTGCAGTCGCGGTGCGTGCACGGCCCGCCAGAGTCGGCCAGGATCGCGGCGTTGACGGAGATGATGTAGGCCATGGTGAGGAAGGTAGCGACGCCGGCACGGAGCTCCTTGGTGAAGGAACTCTTGCGGGCTTCCACCTTGAAGTACTTCCCAACGCGGCTGTGGGCGACGGCGCGATTCACGGCACTCTCGGCTCGCCGCCATGTCCCCGAAAGGCTCCTATACGACCCTTTTCCCATCTCCCCTAAACCTTTGCATGGCCCTCCTTCCATCTCTGTTTACTACTTACCACTCTGCTGAACTACTGGTCTCACACACAGTGGGAGTTGGAGCTAAAGACGTTGGCAATGGTGTTGATGGGGTTGCTCCTTATATAGCCCTCAATGAATGACACTGTTGGCTAATTGAGTTGGCATGGAGAGAGAGAGAGAGAGAGAGAGAGAGAGAGAGAGAGAGAGAGAGAGTCCATCTCTAGCTAACAGGAGAGTGCAAGCTATGGAGACAGATATCCACTGAATCAAAGGCTAAAAGTGGTTTGAACTCGTTGGAGTTGATGCTCCTCTGTGCTCACACAACTCACAGATTCGATCTTTATCCAATACAACAATTTTACCTGTTGTCACAGAGTAATCAATTCATCCGAGTAGTAAACAGATGCTGGATTCCTGCATGCGTAAGGAGGGAAGAGAATAAACATATGCTTTCTGAGACTGAAAGATGTGTTCTTTTGACAAAAAGAGAAGCTGAAGTAGGAGCCTAAAAGGAAGAGTGCATAGAGATGCATCCAAGGCCTCACTTTGAAATAGTGATACAATTATGGCACAAGTACTGCTGTAGCAGCAAGGATTCTGTCATCATATGGCCCTTGTCATTCTATATAGGACCCAGTTCATCCACCTCTGTTCAAATAAAAGTGGAAGGTAACTAGTGGCCTGCTCTACAAGGAGAATGAAAACTTTCTCTCCTTTTGAGAGGCATCGCTCTTTCTTTTTGGCAGAGGCTATGATTCCACCCATCTGTTCATCTGCATGATGAGATGTTGAGGCCAATGCTGTTCAATCTGCATGTGGGTGCCATGTTGTTGTGTTAATCTAAACATTTTTGTGCACTTCTACCAATGCAGAAGATTTTTTGGGGTTGTGAGACTTGACATTGTCACTCCTTCACCAGGACTTACTCAGCAGAATCAGTTCATCTTATTTGTTGAGTTATGAGTTGCATATAGAGCTGAGAACACCAGGATCCTGTTCCTAGTATTCTCTTCTGTCTTGACCGTGACTGTAATTCAAGTCTGTTGGATTCATGGAGCAATTATATGCTTGAGAGAGACAAGTTCTGTTCATTCTTATTCTTGAACTTGAGATGGAATTGATGTCATCTTGTATGGGAATCACACGACTGCTCCCACAATTCAATCTGAGATATAATAAGTTTGGTAACAACAATGAAATGTTAACAGTGGGGATCACTCCAATCATGAACAAAGAATATGTTCCTATTGTAATATTGTTTACATGACTCCAATCTTGATCACTCACATAAAGATTGCTCTTCATATGATATCTGAATATTCTCCTAGATTTGTTGGAAATGATTCTGATCACAAGCAAAAGGCTTAAAAGAGTGTCTTTTCCCCCTTTTTTAATATGATTAGTATCTGTGGAAACAGCTTTGTATCCCTTTTGAATAAACCTCATAGGAGCTATAGGTTTCAAGTCATATACTGCCAATGAAAACAAATAGGTCTCTGTGCTTTGAATGGAAAATAAACCATGAGTAGCTATGTGGTAAAGTGAAACTATAAAGTGCAATCAAGAATTACACAGTAATGTTCAGACAATAGAAATCTCCCAAAAACTTCTTTGTGTGTCATGCAGAAGTGACTCCAAATTAAAAGATTTTGAGTTTTTGATTCTAGTTTTGGCTTCGAACTATGTCCACAATGATAGAATTGCTGGACTATCCTTCATTGCATCGCTTGATCATTACAGAAGCCATTGAGTTTTAGTATCAGGCATGTCATAGCACATTACATAGTGTGATTCTTTTATCTTCCATGAACAAACCCAAACTAAGACATAAAAATGCTGTCTCACTAAATGCAATGGGTAATCTGTATGACTGTCCTCAAATTGGTCATAAAAGAGAATTCTGTGTCATATCTGCTGAACACAAAATCCCATTGCAGGTTTTGCGAGTATATGACAAATGGAGCCACATTGCGAGACTTCATGATAAGCTTCCATAATCATTCTACTAAATAGGCTGCATGTTTCATAAGGATGAACAAAGTTAGAAGTCAAACTTTTAATATACTCAGATGTCAGATAGCACAGATATGCTCTCTTTTGATTGGATTTGTTTAGTAGCACATTTTACGGTAAGGTTTATCATTTGTAGGACCATTGATATTAAAAAGTTTTATAGTTCAAAAGAGAGTTCTGATATGAGCTGGCTTCTGACTTAGTGATCCTTGCAAGCTCAGGAATGAGGTTTTTCCAATGAAATCTGCAAATCACAATAAATGTGTTAACAAGAAACGCTAGTCGAGAAATAAAAAGTTCATTGTCCACAGATGCAAGGAAACATGTATAAATCTTTTCCCTTAAGAAAAGGAAAATTCATATATCTTAAATGCCAAAACTTGTCGACAACCAATTTATTAGTCATACATCAGCCTAATATTTATCAGACAGAATAAGGATCCATTGATCTTGCATAGTGTGGCTTTACTCTTGCCTAGATGGTTCAAAATAATGCCTAGTGAATTAATTGGTCTAGAAATCAAGACTATCCATATAACTTTGTGTGTATCCATTACCTTATGCTTGTGTGAATTATATTTCCCAACTTCTTAGATTAACCACCCTGAGTTGCTTACGACCCACATAACATAGGTCTAACAGGTTCTTAATATCTTTGCCTGTTTTGACATGTAACATCTGGAGCTTAAAAGTGTTAATGAATTCATAAGAGTATTTGCCATTATTCATTCTCTTCTAATTTGACCCTAGTCTATCAAAAAAAAATTTATCATGAACATCTTTCCTGCAAAACAATTCTGTATAATGTTGTGTGATAATATCGATGATGGATATCGGTAATAAGTTTTTCTTACATCCAGGTGCATGTATACCAGATACGAGAACCAAATAACCTTCATATTCCCGAATTGTAAGAAGGCGTTTTATGTTACAGTAATAAAATTGAAAAATCATAAGAGAACCGTACCTTCACCCCAGACTTTGTGGGATTAATATTATGATAGAATTCTGGCAATGGTCTGGCTTTGAAACAATGGGTGTGCTGCAATTTATTTTGTTCACTTTCAGCTGTTTTCTGCATATACAATACAGATATTAGATGTGTAGGATATAGATGAATGATAGTTTCAAACAATTTGGCTTAACTCTTACATAAATAAAAAATTGAGAAAATGAAATCAGCAAGTTTTACTAATTATGAGCTATAATTATACTGTGTAGAAGTAATATTTTTTTTTAAATGGAAATGGGCAGTATATAACAGCGCAAAATGTAAGTACATGGTGTATCTTATCATTAGAGAACCAAATATCTTACTTGCTCATGAGACTATTAAATATCATCTGATAATAGTTATATGGTATTCTAATGACTAATTATAAAAATAATTAGATTAATTATCACAAAACAAAGACTTTCAGATAAATTAGTACGAGAAGGATACCTCCGTCCTTTCCTTCTTATTTGGTTCAGCATTTCGATAGAATTCTGGCAATGACCTAGCTTTAAAATGATAGCTTTGATGCAATTTCTTCGATTCAAATGATTTCTGCATATTACAGGTAATTGTCACATTTAAATTGCATGAAGTTAAACAAGCCAAGTTGACTGTGAAATGTAATTATCATGTGAAGAGCAGACATAAAACTTCTAGAAAGATATTAAAGTTGTTTTGTTCACTAAATTATGGGAGTGTGAAATAAAATTGAGAAGAGTAGAAGGATTTATAATATAAAAGGAACTTTGACACCTCTTGGAGATATAGTCTCATTGCCTCTTTCAAAGAAGACTCACCATCCAAACGAAAAATGAGAACAAATATTTAACGAAGGAGAACTTAGGATGCATGAGGAAAACTTCATTACGATAAGAAAAAAAATGCTATGTAATCATTTATATATGTGGTTAAGCAATTCAGACCTACTAAGCACACACATGTACCTCCTTTTTTAGTTCTATGCTTCCACCAGTTCTAGTTGTATGAGAAAATGATGCAGTCTCTCTGCAAGCTCTACTGCCTGTATTGTTTGAATTCCTGCAGCACAAATAGATGTTTCAAAGAGTTAGTAGCACCATCTATAGTCTATGAGTAAATTGAGCACAAAAATCTATGTGTATATCTAATCTAAAGTTGATTAAAGTGTGTGCCTGTGTTCATGTTTAGTGTTCCTAAACAACAAATTGTTTCTTATCCGATATTTCAGGATCATGCCCCTTTAGAGATTATCATGGGCAATAATATACCTTACAACACTTAAATGCAGTTTCTGACATCTTAAGACCTGCAAGATCAGAATATTTAATAGCAGAATCATCAACCTTGTCGTACCTCTTCTTTTCTGACTGTATGATAACTGAGTTTAAACTTGGCACTCCATCCAAAGATACCTGAATTGCTCAATCAAATGTGGTTTACCATAGAGAACATCCTATGGGACATAAGATTCATTTACAATGGAAGTGAAAGAAGGACCTTATATGGTGTCCTATGATGACATGAGAGATCTGGAGATGGCTTTGCTGAATTCACAGTAGCTTTTGTTTCCTTGGCCTTCTCATGAACAGGTGACATTTTAGCTTTTGGATTGGCCCCTCCACTCTGAAATTGAGTAAGATTGACCGACATGTGCAACGATTTTGGAAATGTTGGAACTGATTTCTTGTTCTCCTTTGAGATAGAACCGTATTTCCTGTTACTGCCTGGAGTGGAAATGTTCTCCTTGGGACATCTCAAGGATGAAACCGGCCTTGACAGGGAAAATGGAATCCTGGATGAAGGGGAAGGAGGCAATCCTGATGATCTATGGCTAACTGATGATCTTGAAACAGTCACACTATAATTCTTCTCAGCTGAATCTATATTATCCATATTAATGACAAGACTTTCCTGGAAGAACCAAATTATCATGTCATCAGTGGCATTGACATGGATATGAAACCGGAACCGAAGAACTAGCCAAGCACATTACCTTCAGTGGCCTCTTCTCCGATGTACAGATCTCACTAAGCTCAAACCCAGAAGACTTGTTCTTGTTTTCAATATTTTCAACTGCTACATCTGTTGGTTCAAGTTGCAGAGAAGAACCAATGTGAATCTCATCTCCTTCTATTGCATTCCCCTTCTCCGCTTCTGCCACTTGTGGTTCATTAGTCTTGTCACACAGATCAAAACTGATACCTTTTCTCGAATTGTCAACCGTATGATTACTCTTCTCCTCAGATTCTACTTGTTCACCATCTTCAACTGCTACATCTGTTGCTTCAAGTTGCAGAGAAGAACCGACGTGAATCTTATCTTCTTCTGTGGCATTCTCCTTCTCCACTTGTGCTACTTCACACAGATCAAAACTGATACCTGCTCTCGAAAAACAAGCACCTTGGTCAACCATACGATTACTCTTCTTCTCAGATTCTACGAATCCAGCGACATCTGTTTGCCTCCCAGGTAAGCATTTATTGGCAGCATTTGCGGCTTCCTTCGTAGCTGCGACCCTCTTGTAGTGAGCTTCGAAGTAAGCTTTCTTCCGAGCAACACTACCCGGCACCGAGTACTTCTCGACCTCTTCCAAGTATCTGTTATGGTGGAAGGAAGACCATTTGCCCCAGTCTAGCGATTCCGACAAGAATCTCCCGAAAGATATCGATCCCCCTAATGCTGCAACATGGTTCTCCTGCCGACACCGACATCTCCTTACACCCTCAAGAAATGCTCATTCAAATCAAGAAGAAACTAAGAAAGCAAGTCGGATGGAAAGAGATATCTACCTGAGCTTCATGAGATCCCATTTCAAGCACCGAAGAAACGAAAGGGTTCCAAAAAATTGGGTTCAAAATGCTGAGAAATCCCAAGAAAAGGTGAGGCTTTTGAAATGGAAGAAGCGGTAAAACTTTTGGGCTCTGACTGACTGGAAAAGTAGGAAGCTTTTGGCACAACGGATCCTAACAAAGAAAGAGGAGAAATGTGTAGGTCAAAGCGTTTTGAATCGATCCGCCCACTAAATTGTTGCCTGTATCTGTGCTTTCCTTGTACGTTGCGCAGTCCTTTTGGCTCAACTACATGAGATCCGACCGTATCTAGTAGAAATTTAGGCATATTTGGACAATGTTCCTGATATAGAATCTTTTGTTTCTATTTATATGGAAATGGTATATACATGTCATTTCATATATTACTTACTTTGGGGGCTAAGGTACATTTTGGAGCAAAACAGATCAATTCTTCAACAATACAATAATGAGATTACAGACTAATCAAAAGATTTCAAATATCATGTAAAAATAAAATCTCAAGAAATCAGAAAAAGAAACTGAATAGAAAAAAAAAACACCAAAGATTTATTTATACCGATCAATTCAGTGATAATGATGGTCAGACCAACATACCAAAAAATCATAACAATCGAATCGAATCGAAGCATTTTTTCTTTCAAATAATCCTTTTTTTTAATCTAATCCCATATTAAGTTATGATTAGAGTTTTAATTAACCCTACATCGTTAAGACGTAACAAATCTACTTTTTCTTTTGATTTTTCTGATATGATGCCAAGGGTGCCAATTACATTATTATAAAGATCATAACCCTCAGGAAGATGACATCCAGATATTGATCTAAGCCATGTGCATGAAATGTTTATCGTCCCCTCATCCAATGATGAGCAATTGATTTATGACTAAACAACTGCACTCTAGTACAAAAATCAAGCACACTTCCAAGAACATGAGATGATGGTTGATCCCAATTATATTCCTCTGTCCCTTGGATTCCATCAGCCATCATGCATCCTCCTTGATCTTAGGGGTGAGACCTTCTCACTCTGATTTATAATGGCAGCTTATGTAGATCCAAACTTTGTAGGCATGTTTGGCAAACTTCCAAGAACACAAAGTCAATGCTGACTTTGCAGGCATATCTGCTGTATGCAAGCAAACAATTTAGTAGTTTAGGCTTATTCTTGTTTGAAGAATATTAAGATTACAAAGAATTAATGCTGAACTACATTCTGAAATCTGAATTCCTAATCTGATGAAAAGAATATGGAATTATCTCCAAGAAAAGAGCTTCTTTTGCTTAAGGCGATGGCTCATAGCAAGTTCCCATAGAAGAAGAGATCGTCAAGAGAAATGGTTGCTTCCGATGAAGGAAAAGAGTTATCCTTGCTAGAAGAAGGGCAGAGCGAGTCTTGCACTGAGAAGGAGGAGCTGCAGCTGCCTGAAGAGTTGACCTGCAGCCTATTCTCCTCTGCATTCATGCTCTGGAATGTCATCCAAATCCTATGCTCGTAGCCAGATTTGTCTTCCGAGCTGACTCCGATTTCCTTCTGTTTCATATCGATCATCATCTGCGGACTGGCATTTGGCGGATTGATGAGCTCGTGAGTCGCAGGATTCAGGCCGAGGAGGTTGAGTCTCTTCTTGATTCGGGTGTTCCAGTGGTTCTTGATCTCGTTATCGGTTCGGCCAGGGAAATATGATGCGATCTTGGACCATCTGAGGCGAAAGGCTAAATTACTCGGCGGCATGCAAGGCGAGAATAAGAGCGTGAGATCGACGTAGAATCTTTCTTGTGCGAGGTTACCTGTTCCCGAGACGCGAATGGAGTTGGATGATTTGGCTCTCTTCTTCCTGGGAAATGGCCTCTCGCTTGAGGTCAGGACGAAGGTAGTTAGTCCATCTTAGCCTGCAGCTCTTCCCGCATCTCATCAGACCTATAGCAAAGCAGCAAAAGAAACAAACGTACCACGAACATGGTCAGCAAACAGACCATAATGATTCGGTGAGCTGAACGAAGGCTGAAAGGAGTTTGATTCGACACAACTCGTCGTCCAAACTGTAAGAAATCATCGGACAAGGTCCGGTCGGTACCAGCAAGCTTGGGCACGAGGCGCCAACAATGAATGCCATTGTTGATGATGAAGTTTATGAGCTTCTGGTCTTCCTCTGCTGTCCATGCCCCCCTTCTCATTCCGGCCTTGTCACAGCAGGGTTGCCTCCCCATCTCCAGAGAGAGAGAGAGAGAGAGAGAGAGGAACAAAGTAGAAGTTGTGGGTGCAAAGTTCATGCATGAATCCCCTACAAGGTCTTATAGATCGGGTCTCTAGATGCTGCCAGTTCATGGGTTGCTTAAACAAATGATCGAAGCGAGAGAGAGGGAGAGAAAGAGAGAGAGAGAGAAAGAGTCAGCCACCTCCGGAAGTCTCGCGAGAAGATGCTTTGAGATGGATTACGACATGGCGGTGGTTGAGGAGCAGGAGAGAAAGCACTCATGTCTGCTGTATCTTCTGTTGTCTCGAGGAGGAGGAGGAGGAAGTGAAGAGATTCCTTCCATGATACCCGAAGATTCTGCCTCGAGCTTTTGTCTTCAGGTGCGCATCACACAAGAAGAGGGAGAGGGAGAGGAGACGACGCATGTGGAAATGCTGCTGCCCAGACTCTGCTATCCATTTCAAGATTCCATTGTTCTCTGCTTCTCTGTTCATTCTTCCTGCAATAGAATCTTGGAGAGGATACGACGCATGTGGAGATGCTGCTGCCCAGACTCTGCTATCCATTTCAAGATTCCATTGTTCTCTGCTTCTCTGTTCATTATTCCTGCAATAGAATCTTTTGCATTCCACTCTGTTGAAGGCTGCCCTCAAATTGATCTCTGACAACCATCTCATGGTATGAATTATGGAGAATCCAAGTCCTTTTCAGATAATATGACAATGAGAGTTCTTTTACAACATATCTGTTCTTGTAAGGCTTTGAAATACCATTTGCAAATAGCAGAACTTGCAACTCCAAATAACTTAGTGGAGATTGAAAGAAAAGGTGAACAATTTCACTCGATGATGTAGAAGAGATGTACACAAAAGTTTGAGCTGTCGAGTACGAACAACTAAGGTAAAGATTTGATAACATCAGAAAAGATATCAGCTCACAGAGATCTTTGGCCATCTTGATGTCAGAAGTCCATATTCCTTCAGCTCTTCACTCTGCAACAAGGAGGATAAATGGCTTGTGTCAAACATTTGTGTAACTGTTGTTTATAAGAAACCAAAAAGAGTTGTTTATGATTTCTCCATTCACAATATCATAAAAGTGAACATCTAAACATACTAATAACAACTGAAACAAGCATGTGGCCTAACTAAATGACCAAATTTAAACTTTTACTAGACAGCTCAGAGAAAAAGATCATTTTTTATTTGTAATACTCACTCGGATTGTGATTCTGGTTCCTCATCAGTTAATGAACCCAAGGATGTAAGCTTTCCAAATGACTCTTTAGCATCACTGGTAGCATTGCCGAAGAAGTCTTTCACCTTGTCAAGGACGGTTTTAAGCTCTTCCTGTGTTGGAAGCTGTAAAGAAAACACAATTATTTATCAAGCTCCGACAAGTCATGAATTTAGTGACAATTATCATAATGAAAAGTCAGAATTTAGTCTGACAAAAACAAATGTAATTTTTTTTTGTTTCTTGAGAAAATTTATCTCAAGTACTTCCATGGTAATTCAAATGCATGACAAGCCTACCGAATATAAGATACAGAGAGGTACTGTCACGGACAAACTTCTCAACAAGATGTTGGATGTAATGCTTATGTGTGTCCGTGTCTTTTGGCATGTTCATACCCTGTACAGAATGTAAAGGGACGGCCGAAGGCTTATAAGTCCCATTTTAGTTGGGTGGTGGCCTCTTTAGGCTTGTAAATAAAGGTTGTATCATGTGGACACGTGCGAGAGCTTTTCGGTCTGTAATGGACCATTTTACCCTTTGTTGTGCCACTGTTCAGAGCTTGTAAAGTCTGTTTGTAATTTGCATTGTCTATGAAGTGTTTTTCGGAGATGTTTGCTTGTGGATCCCGATTGAGGCGTTCTCTCTTGCCTATTCTCTCTTTTGTTGGTCCTAAGGGACAATGGGAGTCTTCGGGGAGGCTGACCTTTGCGGACGGACACGCAAGGGTGCCGCACGACTTAGGCAAAACCAGCTAAGTCCGTGTCATATGGTATCAGAGCGGGACAAGCACTCATAGAAACACTTAGCATGCAAACGTGGGGGACCTAGCGGGGCTGCGTTGAGGGCAGTCAGCACACGCGCGACCGTTTGGGGGAAAACGGGTATGGAGATGTAGGGAAAAGAGTCGCTCAGAGGTGCGGGCATA